GTGGGAGTTTCAGGAAGGGATAAGAATCTGACTTCCATAACTTCTTAGGAGTCAAGTAAATGGATATGTATCATATGTGTGTGTTGGGCACAACCTTGGAGTGCCCAAATTTAGATGGACAAGACTCTTTAAAAAAATAATAATGGTGGTTTAAATACGAACACTGTTGTGAATAAATATATTTGTACCTACCAGCATAGCATTATTTGTACAATCCTAAGTAAATCTACCATGGAGTAAATACTGAACTCAGTGGGATTTACTTTTGAGTCAACATGCTTAGGAATGTGCTGTAACAGTGCAATTCTAGGCACGTCTACTCTGGAGTAAGTTCCACTTCGTTCGCAAGGTCTTACTCTGAGGTACTTGGCTGCAAACTAAGTGTGTTTAGTTTGGCACGTCCTTCAAAATGATAAATATAGGACGGTTAATGCAGCTCTGTCTCTCATTTTCAAATATTCTGCCCCCAGTTTTGATTTCTATGAGTTGGATTAGATAGCTCTTGATTGAATTTAGGGGGGCGCAGGTGGGGGGCCACCTGGGGCGAGGCAGTGCCTGTTACAAGTCATCCACTCAACTTATTTATTTATCATTTATTACTCAGACGTTCGTAACGTGAAGGTGGCCTGCAATAGATAAGTATAAGGTAAAGGTAAAGGGACCCCTGACCATTAAGTCCATTGTGGCCGAGTCTGGGGTTGCGGCGCTCATCTCGCTTTATTGGCCGAGGGAGCCGGCGCATAGCTGTCAACTTACAGATTTGAAAATAAGGGACCAGCAGCCTTGAAAATAAGGGACCAGCAGCCAAAATAAGGGACCTGCAGCCTCACCTGTCCCAGGCACTCCAGTCTTCCTGTCCTCCTGCAGTCTGGTCAAACTCATGCTGGGTAGCTTCGAGAACACTGTCCAACCAACTTTGTAACCAGAGGTTCAACTGAATAGAATCTGAATCACATGCACCACAAGGCCTATGCAGCCTCAACTTAAGATGGCTCCCCGGCCTGGCTTTGCACTGCAAAGTTTGCAGCAGCATGTGCAACAAAATGGCGTCCAGCATTCAAAACCCTCCTCAGCTTGCATTAACTAGCCACACACAAGGCATGCAAGCTCCACCCCCCAGTCGTTCTTAGACTTCTTATTGGGTGAACAACACAGCTAAGCAACACAGTTGGAGCCTCCCTCCTCCCTGGCCGGCAGGGAGGGAGGGAGAGGAGCTGCTTCCTTGGAAATTTAAGGGACATCATTTAAGGGACATTTAAGGGACATCCATCAATAAGGGACAGCAGCGGGACATGGCGCTGGAATAAGGGACTGTCCCTTCAAATAAGGGACACTTGACAGCTATGAGCCGGCGTACAGCATCCGGGTCATGTGGCCAGCATGACTAAGCCGCTTCTGGCGAACCAGAGCAGTGCACGGAAATGCCGTTTACCTTCCCGCCAGAGAGGTACCTATTTATCTACTTGCATTTTGACGTGCTTCTGAACTGCTAGGTTGGCAGGAGCAGGGACCGAGCAACGGGAGCTCACCCCGTCGCGGGGATTTGAACCGCCGACCTTCTGATCGGCAAGTCCTAGGCTCTGTGGTTTAACCCACAGCGCCACCCACGTCCCTTTATAGATAAGTATAAAAACGATTAAATATGAAACACAAAGCAACGTAAATATGGCAAAACAGAACTCCCAGAGTTAAATGTAGAAGGAAAGGGTCTGCGTGAACTTCTCTGCCAATGGTGTTCCACAACTGGGTACCACTTTCAAACCCTAGTGGTTACCAGCTTCCCTTCATTCTGATGAGGTATTTGAAGCAGGGCCTCTTTCAGGTAAACTGGTCCCAATCCATTTGGGGCTTTAAAGGTTAGATCCAGTACTTTATACTAAGCTTTGAAACTGACTAGGAGCCTGTTCTGCTGACGAGAAAGAGACACAAGATAGTCAAGTCAACCATGCGCTCAACAGCAGAAGCAAATAGCGCAAGCAGTTTGTGCGGCCTGAATAAATATACCTTTACAGGCTCAACTATGCTTGTATGACAGGCAGGGCTTTTTTTGTTCAGCCAGAACTTGCCAGAACTCAGGTGGGCGCCATTGCCATCCTAAGAGAAAGAGGGAGGTGTTTGTGGTGAGTTCCGGCACCTCTTTTTCTAGAAAAGTAGCAGTGGTGACAGGTATAAAATCATTCATTCATGTTGTGTGTCAAAGTCATCCGATAGGCTGCACATGCAATTAAAAAAACAATGAGCTTCACAGCTGAGCAAATGGAAGGGAGGCAATTAAGTTGCTCGTTGCATGGGATGCCATTTGGGCCAAGGCTGGCTCTGTGTTAATTGGAGTGGGAGAGTGTTGCTTTGGTTTGTTCTTCCATGTTATCAGACCCTAGTTCTTTTTAGGGTGACTGCTCAACATGGTGCTCCTACTGTAGTGGCGGGGGGGGGGGAGGGGGTTGGAGATTGCTGTATTGTTTTTTATATTCTGTTGGAAGGCGCCCAGAGTGGCTGGGAAAACCCAGCCAGATGGGCGGGGTATAAATAATTTATTATTATTATTATTATTATTATTATTATTATTATTATTACAGTAGTACCTCAGGTTACATATGCTTCAGGTTACAGACTCCGCTAACCCAGAAATAGTACCTCAGGTTAAGAACTTTGCTTCAGGATGAGAACAGAAATCGTGCTCCAGCGGTGCAGCAGCAGCAGGAGGCCCCATTAGCTAAAGTGGTGCTTCAGGTTAAGAACAGTTTCAGGTTAAGAATGGACCTCCGAAACGAATTAAGTACTTAACCCGAGGTACCACTGTATTATTATTAATATTATTATTATTATGACTTAATGCACATGTGTTAGTAATGAGCTCAGGGAGAGCAGACTCAATCGAGGACCACTATTGTTTTGGCTCTTCAAAACACTACGTGAACTATACCGCAAGAGGAGATGCCTAATTTCAGATTGCTCACATTTCTGTACTTCTAAAATAAAGCAGCAACTTCCTTCACCTTCCAAAACGAATTCGGTTAAAACAATGGACGGAACAGTTAGCTGTGGCCTACAAACACAGACAGGTAGATCTGATTGCTCAGATCCCCATCGACTCCCTGAAAGTTATTATTATTTGTAATGATTTTAAATATTTCTGATCAGATAAAGGGAGGTGGCTTTGCTTTGAACAGGGATGATAAAAGGATGGAAGCAATGTTAACTCTTTCTGTAAATATTTTGAGTACATGGAGCACTTGATGTCCCATTAGCCGTTGGTGTTCCACTTGTCTCCAGAGCTGTTTCATTATCTACCTATTTCCTTTAACATTAAACAGTGCAGAACTAATCCTAATGACTCAAACTTAAAGATGACTTTAAGTACTTAAAAGGATTTCCCTGCCAAGAAGCACATACCGGGTTCATTCTTTTGACGGCTACTTCGCATCTCTGTGCAAATGGAGAGGAAAAACGTAATTAACCTGTTTAAGCTTCAGGTGGAAAATGCTACTCTTTGCCTTGTTAACAGCTTGGTGGAAACTGTTAACAAGGCAGCACTAGTTCCAATAGTTTGCAGAGGATATATGCTCTTCACATCAATGTGACAGTTGTTTCTGTAGCAATATAATCTACCCGTTTTTGGTGTTGGAGGGGGAGTGATCAATAACTTTGTTGGGAGTCTTTGGAAGAGTGTTGAAAAGCCATTATTTTTGAGCCTGTCTCTTGCGCTTCCCAGCCATCATTTTCTTAGATGTGCGATCTGAATTAAATGGGCATAATTTTTACCTTGTCGCGTATAAAAAATAGTGTGTTGCTCACTACAAAATAGCAGTTGTAGGCCATGCTGCAGTGTAAGAGGTACATGAATATTATAATTTATAAGGCACCCTGGGTTTTCAAATGTTTTGTAGTCGTTCTTGTACTACCCTCCCCAGAGAGCTTGAAGGTAAATCTTAATTTTGTAATGGTAACTTGTAACAAAGCTACGTAACAAATCAGTGCGAGAGCAGGAATCGACATTGTGCTGTTGAATGACACTCTGTTGTCCATGTTTCACTAAAGTGTATTTTCATTGATTTGACTTTATGGTAAGACTCTCCTCTTCTGAGTGTCCCCATGCAATCTTGTACTATTAGCAGTAGGAACAGGAAACTTGGTTGCACTGCCGATCCTGATGTCACCTATGGTGTGAAGAAGGTGGGCATGCTTTGGGAGAAATGACCTGGTGGGCCAAATTGGGACCTGTGATGGGCCCAATTTGGCCCATGGGTTGGAGGTTCCATACAATGTTGTAAGACATTCAGAAACTATGGCACTAGGCCTAGCTGAAGGTTAATCTGGCTTAGCATACTGTTCCAAAAAGAAGTTGGGAAAATGCCTTTGAGAGTCCATAAGCAGACCCATAGATCTCCCATGCTGTACGCCTCCAGCAGCTGTTATTCCATAATCCATTGCTTCTGAGCATGGAGGTTCTCTTGAGCTGTCAAGGATAATGGTCAACAGTAGGCCATTGACAATGGGCTTCATTGACCCTTTTCACATTTACAAGTGGTAGGACACAATTTATTACCGTCCACCATCGCCACACGTCCACAAAGTTTTCCCTGGGAAATTACTGTACAGCAGATTTGTGGAAACTGTCATAGAATCATAGTCACAGCCCACCATGTTCATAGCTCAGTTGGTAGAGCATGAGACTCTTAATCTCAGGGTCATGGGTTTGAGCCCCACATTGGGCAAAATATTCCGGCAATGCAGTGAGTTGGGCTCTTCCAAATCTACAACTCAATGACTCATAGAATCATAGATCTGTAGAGTTGGAAGGGACCCTGAGGATCATCTAATCCAGGCATAGGCAAACTTGGCCCTCCAGATGTTTTGGGACTACAACTCCCATCATCCCTAGCTAACAGGACCGGTGGTCAGGGATGATGGGAATTGTAGTACCAAAACATCTGGAGGGCCCAGCTTGCCTATGCCTGATCTAGTCCAACCCCCTACAATATAGGAATCCTGCCTACAGCCGTCCTTGGGTGGGCTCGAACCACCAACCTTCTGGTTAACAGCCAGACATCCACCCTTTTAGCTATACTAATAACAATTGACACTATTTTTAATGTGTTTCCTCCTGTGTCTGTTGCTAATTGATACTTCAGGCCATCTCACACATTATTCTTCATTTTAAAGTATAATTTTTATGCATGTTGAAAAAACTCTGATGTATTTTTTAATGAATGGTGGCGTGTTGTTTCTTTTGCTACTGACACATGAATCAGGAAAGCAGAACTCCTGCTGGCCTTCTACACCAGGCTTTTGCAATAAAGAGGTATGTGCAATGCCATGCAGATGTTACAGAATAGGGTTGCCATATGTCCGAAATTATGGGACACAGGTGGCGCTGTGGGTTAAACCACAGAGCCTAGGACTTGCCGATCAGAAGGTCGGCGGTTCAAATCCCCGCCACGGGGTGAGCTCCTGTTGCTCGGTCCCAGCTCTTGCCAACCTAGCAGTTCGAAAGCACGTCAGAGTGCAAGTAGATAAATAGGTACCGCTCCAGCGGGAAGGTAAACGGCATTTCCGTGCACTGCTCTGGTTTGCCAGAAGTGGCTTAGTCATGTTGGCCACATGACCCGGAAGCTGTACGCTGGCTCCCTCGGCTAATAAAGCGAGATGAGCGCCGCAGCCCCAGAGTTGGCCACGACTGGACCTAACGGTCAGGGGTCCCTTTACCTTTACCTGTGTCCAAAATTATAGGGACATACCCAGAATACTGCAGTCAGAAGCAGTGTCCAAGCAGAAATCGGCAAAATGTCCAGGAAAATCCGATGTTGGCAGTGTTGTTTTTGCCGACTTCCCTTAAAAATAGCTCAAAAATCTCTCTCTCTCTTTTTGCAATTTGACCAAAAACGCCCAACAACTTTGGGCAAAACTAATTCACTTTTTGGAATATGGCAACCCTATAAAATGCATGCCTAAGCAGAGAGCAATCAAATAGGAGAGATGACGATGCGATGTGAGCTTTTTGTGGAAGACAAATGCTTTCTTTCCAACAACAGGGTGGATAATTCATGCTTCTGCCTGATGATAGCCCTTTCACAAAGGCTGCCTCCATTTCCCCATGACTGGGATAAACTGTGCTCTTGAGAGTGCCACTCTTAAGAGGAGCCGGCTACACCAATTGAAACAAGTTAATGAGTTTCTCTGATGTTAAATGCTGTTAACTGCTTTAAAACAATGGTGTTTCAGCACTTGGGGCAAGATTCATTTTAAAAGGACAAAATTGACTTTGAATGCCTGACAAATTCCTCCATTTGTTTAAACTCCTGGCATTTCAGGTATTTTCCTCCTTTCTTCACTTAAGCCCATTGGTCAAAAGTAACAAGGAATGATAAACTAGAATTATCAAAGGCAAGGAATCCCTAAAGGTAGTAAGCGGTATGGATCAAAGTCGGAGAGGTGATAAGATCGCTGGATGTTCACTTCTCCAGTTTTATGGAAGCTAGGTGGGCTGGGTAGACAGGACTAGCAACTAATGCAAGCCAAACACGGACAGACCAGAATTACTTTCTCTTAAAGTTTCTTCTCCCATTTTGTCATTCAGTTCTTTTCTGCCACTTGCGTTAAAAGAATCTGGCGGCAAGCAACTTCGCCTCCTCTTTCCCCTCTTTCACTCACACTGAAATATCTCTCTTCTATTTTGTAGGGAGACTCAATATTCCAATTTTCTGCAATGTTGACAAGAGACAACCTTGGTATATAATCATATATATATTAAAAAATAAGTAGTAAAATTTAGTAAAAAAATAATAATCCCCGAAAGTTTTGCAGGTAGCCAAAGTGGTGCCCTCCAGGTGCTATAAACTTTGATTCCCATCAAACTTTGACTCCCTGCTAACTTTGAGAATGGTCAGGAGCAAAGGGAATTGTGGCTAGATTGAAACAGAACAGTGCTATGAACCTGGACTGCAGCATTTTATACAAGTGGAGAAAGCACTTTAGGTAAGACCCCTGCAGACCCCCCTTTTCACAACAACACTCTCTCACGCACACTTTTTGCACTATCTGCTGCGTGTGATATTCTAACCATGCATGCAGACCTCTTATGCAGAGTCTTTCCGATAGGTAAGGTAAAGGTAAAGGACCCCTGGACGGTTAAGTCCAGTCAAAGGCGACTATGGGGTTGCGGCGCTCATCTCGCTTTCAGGCCGAGGGAGCCGACGTTTGTCCACAGACAGGTTTCCGGGTCATGTGGCCAGCAAGACTAAACTGCTACTGGCACATGGAGGACCGTGACAGAAGCCAGAGTGCACAGAAACACAGTTTACCTTCCTGCCACAGTGGTACCTATTTATCTACTTGCACTGGCATGCTTTTGAACTGCTAGGTTGCCAGGAGCTGGGACAGAGCAACGGGAGCTCACCCCGTCATGGGAATTCGAACCTCCGACCTTCTGATCAGCAAGCCCAAGAGGCTCAGTGGTTTAGACCACAGCGCCACCCGCGTCCTTAATGCCCTCCAATAATAGTTTGCCGGCTAGCAGCAGAGGAGGCACCTGCCATTTGCTCCCCTTTCGATGCAATGATGAATTTAGCACAAGCTCTGTGAGAGCTCTCCTCTGTGATAAAGTTACTCAGGTTAGAGGAACGTGTGACGGCTAATTTGGCCATCGGGTGCTTATTTCTCATTATCTCTTCTGCCAGGATGATCCTTTATCCGTTACATTCATTCCTGCGGAGAATGGGGTGGGGGTGTGATAAAGCAGATGGCTGAAGTCCGGAACAATGTCCAGACAGAACAATTATGATGACAGGAGGACAGTTCCACAAAGATGCCAAGTCCAGGACAATGCTTTGTCTGGAAAGGCTGATGATAGTCGTACAAAGCAATATTCCGCCGTGAACGACAGGAGAGAGTCCTGTAATTGGAAAGCAATCATCACCAAATGCCATCAATTATGGAGCAGCTTCCATAGCATAAGGGGGATTGATTAATCATGGGCCACGTAGATCCCGTGTCCAGCCTTAATCTGTCTCTTTGTACAGCCCCCTAATGACAGTTCTCGTTGTCAGGCATTGAAGTGGCCGAGGCTTTTGTACCCCTCGGTTCTTTCATCAGTTTTGGCTTGTGAAATTACGCTGAATAATATGCTTATTCAGGCTTTTTATATCCGCACGCCTATTTTATTACCTATCCCGATGCATACAAGGCCCGGATTGGCTTGCAACAGAACAAAGCTAAATTACACCTTTCATTACCTAAATATAGTATAATGACAGAGTGTCATTCAAGGGGTAGCATTGAGTTGAGAAACCTCATGGCAGGCCAGGACAATGACAGAGGCTATTCAGCCGCACCTGAATCGCTGTAGTAGGTGCATCTTGAACAGTGAGAGAGGGGATTGGGGTTAATAGACAGGTCACAGTGTAAATTACAGTATCAAATTGAAACGGTGCAGCTGTAACACTGCCCTCGTCAAATGCCACTACACCCTTTTATCTTCCCTTTGGAGTTCTTTCGCTTTTTTTAGAAAACAAACTCGGTGCTTTTGTGATGGTATTAGCCTTGATCATGCCTCCCGGTACTGTGGAGAACCACCCTGTACTTCCCAAGCGCTAGGTGTGTGATGTGGGCAAGGCCTAATAGTGGATGCTGCGGGCTGAGTCTCTATGGGTAGAATTAGTAGCTGAATGAAGACTGAGCAACCGCAATGCAGGAAATTCCTCTCCAGTTGGATTTCCAAGGCAGGGGGGGGGGGAGGGAAGAGACATAGCTCAGTGGTAGAGCATCCGTCTTACATGCAGAAGATTCCAGGTTCGATCCCTGGGATCTCCAGGTAGAGCTGAGAGACAGCCCTTCTCTGCAACTCTAGACAGCCACTGCCAGCCAGTGGAGACAGTACTGAGAGAGCCAGTGTGGTGCAGTGGTTCAGAGCGGAGGACCTGTAATCTGGTGAACCGGGTTCGCTTCCCCGCTCCTCCACATGCAGCTGCTGGGTGACCTTGGGCCAGTCACACTTCTTTGAAGTCTCTCAGCCCCACTCACCTCACAGAGTGTTTGTTGTGGGAGAGGAAGGGAAAGGAGAATGTTAGCCCCGCTTTGAGACTCCTTAGGGTAGTGATAAAGCGGGATATCAAATCCAAACAATTACTGAGTTAGATGAACCAGTGGATTCAACTCCTTATTAAGGCAACTTCCTATGTTCCTATGTTAATATTTTAGGATTTATCTGATAGTGGTAAAGCTAGTTTCTTTAGGTAGAGCTGGCAGCTGAGTCATGTTTGCAAACCCTCCAAGTGTCCAGGGACAGTCCCAGATTTACAGAAGCTGTCCCAGTTTCTGATTTGACCCTGGAATGTCCCACTTTTCCTTAAAGGTAAAGGTAAAGGTACCCCTGCCCGTACGGGCCAGTCGTGTCCGACTCTGGGGTTGCGCGCCCATCTCGCTTAAGAGGCCGGCTCTGTCCAAAGACACTTCCAGGTCACGTGGCCAGCGTGACAAGCTGCATCTGGCGAGCCAGCGCAGCACACAGAAACGCCGTTTACCTTCCCGCTAGTAAGCGGTCTCGATTTATCTACTTGCACCCGGGGTGCTTTCGAACTGCTAGGTTGGCAGGCGCTGGGACCGAGCAGCGGGAGCGCACCCCGCCGCGGGGATTTGAACCGCCGACCTGACGATCCGCAAGTCCTAGGCGCTGAGGTTTTACCCACAGCGCCACCCGCGTCCCATCACTTTTCCTTAGGATGTCCCCATTTTCATCTGTGAAATGTTGGAGGGTATGTGTTTGCGAAACTCTCTCCTTGACGCTGCTCAGGCCTTATCTGCAAGTGACTCTACAGCTCTTAAGTCTTCTAACAAAATTTCCTCTCTATAGATTATAACTCCTTTATAAACCTTGTTTTTCTTCCAAGATGTGACGGGTCTTTTCTCTCCCACTCCCTCTTTTGACATGACTCCAACCACACATCTAGCTCTTCTTTTCCCCTCTTGTAATATTCAGCAGGATTTGCTTTGTGTTGCAATGTCATGCTGTTCTGTGTTTCCTTGTTCTCACTCCGTATCCCTGACTGCCAGTGACACAACAATGCAGAAAGTTGTGACATCATGAAACCATGGATATTCTACAAGGTTTACAAAAGGAAGGCAGGAAAAGAGCATAGATGGTCTGTTGTGTCACATGTCATTTGAAGGCCTCCGAGACCACAGAAGACCTCAAACCCTTCACCCCTGTTGCTAAATAGTCATCACCAGTGTTTTGTCAGTGGGTAGTCTTAGTGGTATCTTTCTATCCCATATGGATGGGAGGGAGAGGAAACCAAGACATCACACTCAGTATGAAGAAATAGAACAACAACAACATCAAAATGCCAAGCCAATGAGCTCTGTATGGTCTGTTTCCCATATGGGTGAGCGGCAACACCTCTCTATCTCACTTTTAATTTCAGATAGTATGCACTCTAAATGTGTGTGTCAGCTGGTGTAAACACAGACATCTGGTTGGCCATTTATTTATTTATTTATTATTAAAGATTTTCTTGATTTACAGAAGCATGTGTAATGTCTCTTGTATTTTTTCCATGTCACATTTTTACAAATCAGTTTCATTTGTTGAGACATTAGGAAGAAAAGGGGTGGAGGGGGAAAGATGGATGCGTGGGGGTGGGGTGGCGATGTTTCTATTTTGTTTAATGTATGTAGGGTTTGGTGTCAGCGTTGCTCGTGCAGGTTCTCTGCTGTTCACTTGTGTTCCTTTGGTGGTGAGAGAGGTTGGGGTTGGCCTAGGGTGTGGTTGTTTGTTTGTGATTGGCTGTGGTGATCTTTGTTTTCATGTGTGAGTGGGGTGGGTGGGTGTTTTGGATCAGGTTAGCCATATTGATTTGTATGCTGTTGGTGGATTATTGTCATTGTCTTGTTGGGCTGTGTATGTGATAAAGGGGAGCCAGGGTAAAGGCATCTTCTTCTGTTTGTCCCCGTGTCAGTTTCAGTTTATTGGTTAATTTTTCTAGTAGGGCTGTTTCCCATACTATTTGGTACCATTGGTCCATGCTTACTCCTGACAGGTCTCTCCAGTGTCTGGTTATGGTGTTTCTGGCTGCTGAAAGTGGGTGGGTTATGAGTTCTTTGTGGTATAAATGGGCATTGTTGTCTTGGAAGATTAGTAGGGCCAATTCTGAGGTGATTTCTAATACTTGCTTAGTTATTTTACATCTTTCTCGTTTGACTGTTGTCCAGAATAGTTGGATTTTGAGGCATTCCCACCACATGTGGAGGTATGTGCCTGTGGAGGTGCACGCTCTCTGGTTGGCCATTATGAAAACAGAATGCTGGACTAGATGGGCTATGGACCTTATTGAGCAGGCACTTCTTATGTTCTTTTCTAATGTGTCTGAGATGATATCAGAAGCTTTCAAGGAAGACTGACCAGTCACATTCATTCTTCTCCTATTTGGGTTTTGGAAGATCCATCCCTCTCATAAAGAGCTGGTGTGAATGGCAGGTTCAATGGCCTCCTCTTGCTTTCTCTCCCCCCCCCCCCAGCCATGCATTAAACTTTGCCAAAATTATGCCTTGAGCTCTGGCATAAAGGTGTCTTTCATTTCTTTCTTTATCCTGGTGTGACTGGTGTAGCAGCTTGTGCTATAAATGCCGTCTCATTTTGCTTAATCTACTCCAATTGCAGGATGCAAATCTTTTCCTCCTAGCACTTGGGTGCTAAAAGAAAGAGATTTTTGAAGAAGGGCACGAGTGTACTCTTTCTGTTGCTGTTCTCTTGTCTGGTAAGTGTACATGGTGGGGTAGTTTTGTATATGATATTCTCCAGTAGATTTGCTTGATACTAGGCTAGCTCCCCCCTGTGCTTCTGCCTATGAAGCTCAGACTTCTCAATCCTCCATCATTTCAGACGTACTGTCGTCATGGATCGCCACTTCTCCTTCTGTATATGGATATATCTTTTATTTTGTTCACTTTTGTGCTGGTGTTTTGCAGAATAAGAACAGTATTTAGGCAGGCACCTGCGTGGGATTATATTTCTGTGTACGGACTCAAACAGAAATGGTGGAGGAGAAGGGTGCTGGTGGCGAGCCTTTTTCTTTGTCTGACATTGTTCAAGTACTTTTCACCATAGGTCTGTCAAAAGCAACACCTGCCATATGGAGTTTGCTTTCATTAGACAGTGTCCGTACTGCAGCTGTGTACTTGATTGTGAGATGACTTTGAGGTTTATTTTTGTAGGCAGCATCATATTGATGCGATGACCCACATTCTATCAAAATGAAGTAACATGAGAACAGCTCCCAAACATATGGAACAGGGAAAAGGCACTTATTGGAATCTGCCAGTATTTCAGCAGGTTCTGGTGGGACCTCGGGAGAGCTGCGTTCAGTGTGGCATCTTATGACCTGAGAAGTCTGAATGGGACCTAGTATGGCCCAGAGATGTGCTCGTGCCACACTGGATGTAGTCACAAAAGTGGATTGCATAGCTTTGAGGAAACCAGAGTCAAGGATCCACAAAGCAGAATTCCATGATATTGGTGTGCCTGTATTGCAACTCATGTATTAATTCCTAGTTATTGGGGCATGTTTGAACTGCACAACGATGACAGCATGACGCTTTCCTACATATGCTGGAAGGAAAAGAGGGTCAATGGCACCAATTTTATTTAGGACTGTGTGGGAAGAAGGAAATCCGTCCCTTTTCTAACAGCTGCAGTGTGGTTCTAAATTAAAACGGTGCAGACTGTAATTTGGTTTTATATTTTGTCTTTTCTTACATTGATGCCGTTTTTAGTGCTCACGTCAGATGAGCGTTGCATAGTTTGGCCACATGCTTCTGAAGTACCGGACAGGATCATCTTGGGGCCAAATCAGATGGGACGCCATTAGTAAATAGCAGAGGCCAGCCCTCACCCCCTTCAGACTGGCAGCTTGAAGGAGAGGGTGGTGAGATGTTAACCCTTTGCCCTCTGCTGCAGTTCCACTCTAGATCAGAGCCCATACACCTGCTATTTGAACCAGGGGAGCCCATGAGTAGTAATTGGGGATGATCAGGCTTGAGGATTTTCGGTTATCTGAGATGACGGTAGAGATATGAAGCCATTACTGGCAAAAGCTTACCAAAAGCAGTGTGCTGGGGGAATTGACACCTGTTGTGCATCTCCTTTGTGGCAGCTTCTGTCCTCCCTTGGTCATTTATGTTCCTTCATTCTAGTCCTTTAAGCCCAGGGACTTGGTGTTGACTACAGGGGCCTGGCATCACTTAGCTTGTAGTTGTAAACAACTCCTCTGCTGCTGCCCCATGGCCTGATTCTGCTACTTCTATAACTATTGTGAAGCTATGTGAAAGGTTACTGCAGCCAGGGAACTCCAGTGGGTCTGGCCGTTGATTTTCTCGCACTTGTTTGCCAAGTCTTTATATCAGCAGGGGAAATACCAGATGCTGTGAAAACATGTGATCGTGTTTTGAGGTCCTGTTTTCCCCCCCTTTGGGTCTGCAAAAATCTATCTACTTCCCCTTTCTCCTTTCATCCTTATCTCTTGGGATGATTGTGGCTTCATCCTCTGGTGATAGAAAGAATGACCCTGTGACGTGACCCTTTTGCTCACTGCCTTCCCTCCTCAAAAACATTCCCAACTGTGAGCTTATTGCCTTGGTGGTAAATTCTGAACTGTGGCCAGCAAGTACAGCAGGGATTCCAGCTTCCATCCTCTTAAGTGCAGTAGGATTAACACTTTGGAACATAAGGAGGTTAAACCGCTGCACAGATACCAACTTTTTCAACTGTCATCTTTTATTTATTCCCCGCCCCCACCCCCTTTAAGACCACTTGGGGAATAGAGAGCTGAGATGGTGAAGGAGACAGAAGAATAGCATTTGTGACAGCAAGGGCAGCCTGCATTAAATAAAGCCTCCATCTTTCATTCTTAAGCTCAGCTCAGGGTGTTTGATGGAGATGGACTTTTCAATTAGACATGCTGTATTTATCCTAAAGTTTCATATATAAACCAGCCTGTTGACATCTCCTATGGATTTATTAAGGAAATCAAATGCTTGTGGGAGTTTTTCATACAAATTATCTAAATTTATCATTTCTACAACTTAAAATTATGGATATATATATATATATATATATATATATATCCCCATACTGTGAATAAAAAGATTGTATGTTAGGAAAGCTCTGTCATGATATAAATCATAACACACATGGAATACATTTCCCACTGAAGACAATATTTCTTTCTTAAACAAATGTTGTGCTCCTTTGCTGAAGTGAAAGGAAGTTCAGGAAGGTTGGCAAAACAAAGTACCCATTTTTAACACTGCGCAGAACAAAATGTATTCTGCTGCCAATTACCTTTGGTAAAAGGGTCAGGAATGGCATAAGAGCTCCTCCATGAAAAGGGATCGGGAAGGAAGGGGCAGCCCACAGGATTAAAGGTAGCAAAGGTAGTGTTTCAGAGAAATGTTGGAGGGTATGCACTATATGGGATGCGGGTGGTGCTGTGGGTTAAACCACAGAGCCTAGGGCTTGCTGATCAAAAGATCGGTGATTCAAATCCCCGCGACGGGGTGAGCTCCCATTGCTCGGTCCCTGCTCCTGCCAACCTAGCAGTTTGAAAGCATGTCAAAGTGCAAGTAGATAAATAGGTCGTGCTCCGGCAGGAAGGTAAACGGCATTTCCGTGCACTGCTCTGGTTCACCAGAAGCGGCTTAGTCATGCTGGCCACATGACCCGGAAGCTGTACACCGGCTCCCTCGGGCAGTAAAGCAAGATGAGCGCCGCAACCCCAGAGTCGGTCACGACTGGACCTAATGGTCAGGGGTCCCTTTACCTTTACCTTATGCCCTACATAAGCAATGACAAACCTAGACAGCATCTTGAAAAGCAGAGACATCACCTTGCCAACAAAGGTCCGTATAGTTAAAGCTATGGTTTTCCCAGCAGTGTATGTATGGAAGTGAGAGCTGGACCATCAAGAAGGCTGATTGCCAAAGAATTGATGCTTTTGAATTATGGTGCTGGAGGAGACTCTTGAGAGTCCCATGGACTGCAAGAAGATCAAACCTCTCCATTCTGAAGGAAATCAGCCCTGAGTGCTCACTGGAAGGACAGATCGTGAAGCTGAGGCTCCAATACTTTGGCCAACTCATGAGAAGAGAAGACTCCCTGGGAAAGACCCTGATGCTGGGAAAGATGGAGGGCACAAGGAGAAGGGGACGACAGAGGACGAGATGGTTGGACAGTGTTCTTGAAGCTACCAGCATGAGTTTGACCAAACTGCGGGAGGCAGTGGAAGACAGAAGTGCCTGGCATGCTCTGGTCCATGGGGTCACGAAGAGTCAGACACAACTAAACAACAACAACAATGCGCTACATCTTGTGGCACTGAGTTCCAAAGTTTAACCATGTGCTTCATGTGAACGACTTTGCTTTGTCTGTCCTGCGATTTCCATATTTCAGCTTCCTTGTATGACTGCGGACTCTCCTACACAAAGGATACAAATTTCTCTGTATTGAAATCATGTATACTGTAATGTTAAATAAGCCAATGCCCATGCCCCCTTTACTTGCTTCCCTCCCACAAATTCAAAACCCCCAAGTGTTGCAACTTTCATTCACAGAGGATTTGCTCCAGGCATTTGGGCTGCCCTTTTCTGCCTCTTCTCCATCTCTGCAGTATCATTTTCAAGATGTAGCAATCAGAACTGAACATGCTGTTCCTAGTGTGTTGACATCGCTTCTGCTGCAGGTTTCTATAATCTTAATAGGCATTTGCATTGTTATTTTCAGTCCCTTTCCTAATGATCCCTAGCATCTGCAGTCTGGTTACTGCTAAATACTTTGCATTTCCCCCTGCAGGGTTATCACCTGAAGAGGACTGAAGGAATGTGACCTCCCAAGCTCAGGGACCCTATGAATTTTGAGAAAATAAACTAGACAAAATTTCTAGATGTTCAAAACTGTGGCGCTGAAACCTTGCCATGCTCCCTCTCCCTAAAATATATATTTTTCTTGTGAGAATTATTGACAGAGGTCAAGAGTTTCTATGGTATTTCTCTGGAGACATTAATGCATTCGTTCGTTGACTGGAGCTATTTTACAAATGCTGTTTGACCTTTTTACTGTTGTTTCCCAACAGTTTCTTTACTCGCCCCTAACAATACACCTTGGGCCAAAACCAAACACAAAGAATGTTAGTTTAAAAGGCGAGTTTTGCAACTGAAAACACCCACAAAGTATGGTCAGCTGGCAACCTCAATACATGGAGGCCTAAAGTTGAAAGCCCTATATTTGTGGTTTAGTTATAAGTGATTTGAGTTAGGCTGGGGTTCAAGTTACAGTCAGCTGAGATCTTTGTAATACTTGGATGGCGGAGAGTTTATAATGCATTTAATTTATAGTTTAATTTTTTTGCATTTCCTTGGCTGAATTCTCAAAGGAGAAAACAGAAGTTAAGAAATACTGCTTGGCTGAGATGCCGCGAAACTTTGCATTTTGCAGAATGGCGTTACGATTTTAGCTGGCTTGTAATGTTCTTGTAATGGCTTGCAAGAGACAAGGGGGGTGCTGTGGTCTAAACCACAGAACCTAGGGCTTGCTGATCAGAAGGTCAGTGGTTCGAATCCCCATGACGGGGTAAACTCCCATTTCTCGGTCCAAGCTCCTGCCAACCTAACAGTTTGAAAGCATGTCAAGGTAAAGGTAAAGGGACCCCTGACTGTTAGGTCCAGTCGCGGATGACTCTGGGGTTGCGGCACTCATCTTGCTTTATTGGCAGAGGGAGCCGGCGTACAGCTTCCAGGTCATGTGGCCAGCATGACTAAGCCACTTCTGGCGAAATCAGAGCAGCGCACGGAAACGCCGTTTACCTTCCCGCCAGAACGGTACCTATTTATCTACTTGCACGTTGACGTGCTTTTGAACTGCTAGGTTGGCAGGAGCAGGGACCGAGCAATGGGAGCTCACCCCGTCGCGAGGATTTGAATCGCCGGCCTTTTGATCAGCACGTCAAAGTGCAAGTAGATGAATAGGTACCACTCTTGCGGGAAGGTAAACAGGGTTTATGTGTGCTCTGGCTCGCCGGAAGCGGCTTAGTCATGCTGGCCACATGACCCGGAAGCTGTACGCCAGCTCCCTCGGCCAGTAAAGCAAGATGAGCACCGCAACCCCAGAGTCGTCTGCGACTTCAATGTTTTCTCCCACCAACACATCAGGCTCCCCCTCCCCCAACCTGCTTCCATGACTACTGCTTGGTTGGAGGCAAGTGGAGGAGAGAGGAAGGAAGGCAGTAAGGCCCAATGGTGTGTGCGTGCGTGTGTGCGTGCGTGCATTAGGCAAGGGATCAGGCCCCATCCCCTTCCCAATTATGTCACCTGTAGCATGACAGGTTCAATATGAATCGTTATTAGGTACATAGTAGTTTTTAATGTTTGATGTTCTATTATGTTTTGATATATGCTGTAAGACGCCGTAGTAGTAGTAGTAGTTGTTGTAGAACTATTTCCCAGTTTGGAGGAAGGGGAAATAGCTTGGTTGGCAGGGTTCAGTAAAGAATCAGTCTGGTATTTAGATACCTTACTAAGATCATAGTATCTTAATAATAACAATAACAATAACAATAATAATAATAATTTTATTATTTATACCCTGCCCACTCTGGGCAGCTTCCTGCACATATAAAAACATAATAAAACATCAAACATTAAAAATGTCCCAAAACAGAGCTGCCTTCAGATGTCTTTTAAAAGTCTCTGTAGTTCTTGATATCCTTCACATCTGACGGGAGGGCGTTCCACAGGGCTGGCGCCACTACTGAGAAGGCCCTCTGCCTGGTTCCCTGTAACCTCACTTCTCACCGTGAGGGAACCGCCAGAAGACCCTCAGAGCTGGACTTCAGCGTCTTATCACTAAACAAAGTTCCTACAGCTCAGCTGGTGTTGCAAAAGTATCATTTGATTCAGTGGGCCAAGTCTGCAACCCTATGCAAACTTACCTGGCTGAGAGCAAGTCCCATTGAACTAAATGAGATTGTCTTTTGAATGTTGCTTCCATCAGGCCCAGCTAGCATGGCCAGGTGTCAGGAATGATGGGAACTGTAGTCCAGCAACATCTGAAGAGCCACAGGTTCCTCACCTTTGAACCAAATGTACCTTTCTTTTATGTAGATATAGGAACATGGGAACATTGGAAGCTGCCTTATTCTGAGGGTCCATCTAGCTCAGTGTTGTCTGACTGGCAGCAGGGTTTCAGATAGCGAACCTGTCCCAGTCTTACCTGGAGATGCAAGAAGATGGAGCCTGGGGTGTTCTGCATGTGAAGCAGATACTACACTGAGCTTTCATACACATAAGATTGCATTGTAAGTTTGGTAACTCACATGTAAGCTGATCATCACGTCTAAACAAGTGTACCTGAAAAGAAATGGTTTAGCGGTTTTCCTATTTGACATTTGCATAGCTGCTCAAATTCGGGCCCCGAATGTGGATAAAACTAGAAATTCTTCAGGAAACATGTAAAGTTTCTACTGACTTAGAAATCAAAAGCTTTCCTGTAGCCATGGGAGATGCACCTCAAATTTCATCAGAGCAACATGGGGAAGCAGTGTTTAATGGCAAGTCACAAACACCCATTTCAAATCAATGGAACTTAAGTCAGGCAAGAACTTCTTGATTCATTTAAGAGTATAAAATCCATATTAAAGCAGAGGTCATTTGGAAACGTACCCAGGCGAACCATTGAAATATACAGTGGTACCTCGGGTTAAGTACTTAATTCATTCCGGAGGTCCATTCTTAACCTGAAACTGTTCTTAACCTGAATCACCACTTTAGCAAATGGGGCCTCCTGCTACTGTCGTGCCGCCGGAAGACGATTTCTGTTCTCATCCTGAAGTAAAGTTCTTAACCCGAGGTACTATTTCTGAGTTAGTGGAGTCTGTAACCTGAAGCGTATGTAACCTGAAGTGTATGTAACCCGAGGTACCACTGTACATTCTTGGTGATAGGAATGCAACTTAACAAACACGATCGAAACCACGTCATCAGTCCTGTAAAAGTATAACCCAGGTTTTCAAAATGTTGCTCATTGTCTGACTTTGGATAAATAGGACAGTTCTTCAGTGGGAGGGGAGGAAAAATCAATTCAGGAAACATTGAGTTGTAAACTCCAGCTTGTAAGAATTGCAGATTCGAAAGGTCACATGAGGCTAAATTCTTTGGCTGGAAGCCAAGAGGGGAAAGGTGCATTTTCCCACTGGCAGCATAATCTCAGCTGAAAAGGAATATGCAGACCACATTGTAGAACTAACTCCCCAGAGGGTTTTGCTGTGGCTGTTGTTTTTTTTACAATTGAGCTGCCACACCCTTATTTTCCCAGGGCTTTCTCCGTGTTTCAAATGTACAATGAGGCATACTGCTAGGGGCGTTCTCCTTCTGGACATTCATAAGTGATTGCATTCAATGAAAGGATGTCTCAGCAACTACCTAGCTCTTCTATGGACATCTTCCCAGAAATGAAATGCAACTTATCAGAGGGGAAGCGTGTGTGCCTGTTTGGGTAGCTTTGAAATGGTTTCTGTTCTCCGGCTCTTGGTGAATAATTAACAAAAGAGCAGCTTTGTTGCGTTGATCCAAGGATCTATTTCCAAATCATGGTTCCTGGGAAGATTATGGGGGCGAGGCACGAAGCCAATAGTTCTTCCCAGTTCTTTATCCTGAGCACCTGCTATTCAGAGGTAGATGTGTGAAAGGATGCTGGCAGAAGGAAAACCAAGCAACCACTTAGGGCTTATCTTTGCAATCCAATAAAATATACCCAAGTGAAAATGTACCAATTGTATCAATTGAAATTGACATGATTTGTGCATTTGTTTTTATATTCAGGAGAGATGCCCTTTGTTAACGCAAGGGGAGTCGTTCACACACTAAATTGGAGGACTGGAGGTTGGAGGATGGATGGCGGCTAACAGATTTAGGTTGAATCCTGACAAGACAGAAGTACTGTTTTTGGGGGACAGGAGGTGGGCAGGTGTGGAGGACTCCCTGGTCCTGAATGGGGTAACTGTGCCCCTGAAGAACCGGGTGCGCAGCCTGGGAGTCATTTTGGACTCACAGCTGTCCATGGAGGTGCAGGTCAATTCTGTGACCAGGGCAGCTGTTTATCAGCTCCATCTGGTACACAGGCTGAGACCCTACCTGCCCACGGACTGTCTCATCAGAGTGGTCATGCTCTAGTTATCTCTCGCTTGGACTACTGCAATGCACTCTATGTGGGGCTACCTTTGAAGGTGACTCGGAAACTACAACTAATCCAGAATGTGGCAGCTAGACTGGTGACTGGGAGCGGCTGCCAAGACCATATAACACCGGTCTTGAAAGACCTGCACTGGCTCCCACTATGTTTCCGAGCACAATTCAAAGTGTTGGTGCTGACCTTTAAAGCCCTAAACAGCCTCAGTCCAGTATACCTGAAGGAGCGTCTCCACCTCTATTGTTCTGCCCGGACACTGAGGTCCAGCACCGAGGGCCTTCTGGCAGTTCCCTCGCTGCGAGAAGCCAAGTTACAGGGAACCAGGCAGAGGGCCTTCTTGGTAGTGGCACCCGCCCTGTGGAACACCCTCCCGCCAGATGTCAAAGAGAAAAATAACTACCAAACTTTTAGAAGACATCTAAAGGCAGTCCTGTTTAGGGAAGCTTTTAAGGTTTAATAGGTTATTGTATTTTAGTGTTTTGTTGGAAGCCGCCCAGAGTGGCTGGGGAAACCCAGCCAGATGGGTGGGGTATAAATAATAAATTATTATCATCATCATCATCATCATCATCATCTCGCTTTATTGGCCGAGGGAGCTGGCATACAGCTGGTCATGTGGCCAGCATGACCAAGCCGCTTCTGGCGAGCCAGAGCAGTGCACGGAAACGCCGTTTACCTTCCCGCCGGAGCGGTACCTATTTATCTACTTGCACTTTGACGTGCTTTCGAACTGCTAGGTTGGCAGGAGCAGGGACCGAGCAACGAAAGCTCACCCCGTTGTGGGGATTCGAACCACCAACCTTCTGACTGGCAAGTCCTAGGCTCCGTGGTTTAACCCACAGCACCACCCGCATCCCAATACCTACCGAGGGCCCTCTCGGTAGTTGCACCTGCCCTGTGGAATGCCCTCCCAACAGATGTCAAAGAGAAAAATAACTACAAACTTTTAGAAGACATCTGAAGGCAGCCCTTAGGGGAAGCTTTTACTGTTTAATAGGTTATTGTATTTTTGTGTTTTGTTGGGAAACCCAGCCAGATGGGTGGGGTATAAATAATTTATTATTATTATTAATTATTATTATTATTATAAATTAGAGTTTGTCCATGTTTCTCCTTGTTTCCTTCTGCCTGTCCCTTGCTCTGCGGCTCTCCCTGGGGAAACCTGCTGTTTACTGCTCAATTGCAACATATGTCAATTTGCAAAAAACCTTATCGATGTTGTTGTAATTCAGTGGTAAACAAGGTTTCCCTGGGGAAAGCAGAGGGTCAGCGGAAAACCTTATGGATCTGTGCCTATGAATAACAAGATGGGGAAAAGTATGGATGAGCCCTTAATTTGTGGAAATAGCTGCAGCTGCAGGCCTGTGAAACTTAGGGGACTTGGGTAGAGAGATAAGTCTACTATTGCCATCCACTTTGTTTAAGGAGCTACAAGAGGCTTCTGCTGCTTGAGTAACATAGGATTTAAGAAGGAAGGAAAGTGACTAGGTTCTAGGGATTTAAACTTATAGTACTCAGTGAAAAGTGTTTTTTTATGTGTTTGTTGCTCCTATAATGGACAAATCATTAGACGCCAGTGCCACTCACGGAGCCCCACTACACAACCCTAATTTCTGCGAAGCCAGAGTTCTCTCCAGTGAGAATAATATTGATGGTTGAAGTCTTGTGTAATGGAAGCACTATCTTGGAGAAGGTTCTGCAGTTCCCCGGCAAGAGATGCTAAGTGCATACTTAGTGAGGCTGGTGGGAGGTTGTGGCCTAGGGAGAGTCTTGAGAGAAAGATAAAATCCTTGAAGCCACACTCTGTC